ATTTTCTATTAATAACACATCCGCTTTTGTGACTGATTTTTTCCGCTAATTCCTCTGTTTTCACAACAAATTTTCCGTCACAGTGTTATGAAAGGTGTCACTTTTTTAACTTTTAAAACATTCATCAGTTCTATTTTTATAAAAAGAACTCAATATAAACGAATAAAGTTTTAGAAAACATGATATTTTATTTAGTGTATTTCTGTAACAACTGACAGTGCTCGTTTTAAAATTAAACCAAATTTGGAACTGGTCTTGCTGTCAGTCAGGAAATACTAACTCGAAAACAAATTGACAATTTGATGTGACAGAAGCTACAAAACAGCCAACTCTAGTTGTCTTTTTTCTGTACACAGACAGTTATTTCAAAATTTAAATTTGCTAAAGCGTCATAAAAACATAAAATATTTGTCCACTTAAAATCGGTACTAAATTCCCGTCTAAAATTATATATTCTGCAGAGAAGCCATAAAAAATTGCTTCCTCAACCCTAACTTCGTGCTGTCACATTCGACCGCAGAACTTGTACTTCTTTTTAATTTATAAATTTAGCGTGTTTCGCTACGTAAAAAATTATGACTGTTCCTTCTCTTTGATATTACCACCATCGATCACTGCGCCGGATTAAAAAAGTCATTTCAACATATCCATTCGCTCTAAATATAAAAATGTCGTCAATGATAAGTTGGAAAGCTCCTATATACATTTTCGTCCGCTAGTTAATATGACTAAATTAATTTATTTCATAATTTATACGTTATATTTTTAACAACGAAAGGTTTCCCATACTGCGGACGCGGTAAATCAATTTTCGTCGTATTTTAAAAGTTATAGTTTAATTCTGGCGGTACTAAAGTAAATTTAGAAGCGGCTTATTTATTAAAGGACTAATCGATACCCGAACAACACAGAAAGACAATTTGTAAGTATTGGGGGAATAAATTCTGGTTACAAGTAAGCAAAATGGCAACGTATCACCTTCTGGGTATAAAAATATCACCCGCCAACCGTCCACTTATAAATTCTAATCTGCGCTAAACATCAAAAGTTCAATGATTTATTCATAAATACTTTTTTGGCGGAAAATAATTAAAGTTTCGTTCAGCTGAATTAAATGGTAGTGCACGCAGGCTTCTGTTCGCTTTTATCGCGAATAAGCTCGGCTGCGACATTGAAAAGTGACAAATAATAGTTAAAAGCTCAACTTTAACCCGCATTCAAAGCACGCCACGTTCGCCATTAGTAAAGCTCATGCGGGGTATTTCCTCGGGCGCAGAAGAAATGACAAGATTCTATGACCCATTGAACTTGGCAAATAATTAAAGCATAACTCTCGTTGCCCGTAGGCCGATAAATTATTTAAACATTGGGAATTTCTTCCATCCCACATTCGTTTACTTTAGCCCAAAGCTCGAAGCAGCTTGCTTAAAATTTAATCATTTTTCAGCTTCGACTCCAGATCTCGGTTTAATCCCGAAAATAAACGACTTGGTTAGGGATACTTTACAATAAAGTGCAAGTGTAGCGTGGAAATAATAACTATGATTACACAGCATGTTGCAAAAACTCGCTTTCTTCTACACATTTACAAATTAAAATTAAAAACTGAGATGGCTAAATTAAATGAGTTTTTCGTAATAAAATTTCTCTTTTAACATCTGCTTCCTTTGTTTTGGGCAGTTCAAATGTCGTCTGAATTTCATTGCTTTTACGCTTTGTAAATAGGAATTTAAATTTGCCGAGTTCTGAGGAGGACGGCAAGTTATTGTTGCATTCTTTTGAAGCGAGAAATTAAATTTCAACTTCCTAGATTACCTTAAGTATATTAACAATAGGGACTTGGGGGTTAAGGACTGAAAACCATCACATGGAGGAAATGGTAAACTCAGTTTGAGCTTTTCAGCTACAAATTCCTTATAATAATAGCAGGAAGAGAATTCCCGCCTTCAAAGCTGGTGGCGTATTATTACATTCTTTTGTTGTAAACACTGAGATGATAGTTTTATAAAAACCGTCAGAGCTTTGGGAACACATTTCCACTTAAAAGCTCGAACAACGCTATTTTGCTCGATACTGGAAAAACAGTCAAATAAAATTTAATTCAGCACAGATGTAAATGTTGCTTTTTTTTAAACAAATATATTTGCAGCGTTTGCATGAATTTTTAGTTCAATTTATTCGGACTCCTATTTTTAACTGTGTTTCACATTGCGGTCTCGAAATTGTTACAACAGGGAAAAGCTTTTCGGTAAAGTTAATATTTTTTTAACCACGTTAGATTCACCTGAATAAATGTTGATTGTAATATCACTCAGCTGGTGTATTTTGACGTAAGATTTTTTCGATACAAAACCCCTTCAAGACCGATGTTCCATAACGTCAGTTCTAAATCTCAGTAAACGAGGACCCTCTCCATCATCTAACGAAGTAATTAGTATTCAGCTCGCATCGACTGTTGACAATTCGAAAACGAGGAACATCCATCCGAAAAGGACGTTAATTAAATCGTAGAGAAAACGGCGGGTTTTGCGTCGGCTAATACCAGCATTAAACTAAGAAAAACTTAAGTTTACTGTAAAACTTATAGGAAAATTTAATAGAGTGAAGAAAAAGTTCATACGAATCTTCACAGCTAAATTAAGTGAGAAACTAACATTTTTTACACTGTTGCGTGCTGTGTAAAGTGGAAAACGATACTGTTTTTAATGACTATTAAAATTTCATTGTTAGTTGTTAATATATCGTGTGATTATTTAATTTTGTGTTCTAGTTCGACAGTGCAAATGAAACGGCTGACATGGCCAACTAGAGCAGAAATTTGAAAAATCACCCGATATTTAACCGGACAACATTATTTTTAAGTAAGAATTTTAACAAGGTTTCACACGAATAATAACGTAATAAAATTTGGCAAACATTGAAAAATTTAAGTTGAGGAAAATGCTCAAAAATATTAATATGATTTTATATTTTGAAAACTAATTGTAAGATTTTTGAGATCATTTTAAAATTAACCTAGTTCTCAGAATATATTTCAAGAAAGGATAAAATCTAAATCAGGTCATGTAAAACTTCAACTAGTTATCTAAAGCACATGCTAGTTACGTCTAGTTCAATAAAAATCAAGTCTGTGTCTACAAAATGCTTAAAGAAGAAGTTTTTTTCAGTAGATAATCTTCATAACGTTATTTTTTTTTTTGAATGGCTTAAAGTCTTTTGAATTAAGTCATAAGTTTTAAATACTGAATTTAAATTAAAAAATTTTAACAAGGTCAACCAAAACTATGAGGTCTTTTATACTCTTACGTCTAGATCTATGAAAATCAAATTTTCATTGATGAAACACTCAAAGGAGAAGATGTTTTCAATTGATGTTCTTACTAATTATTTTTTTTTATAAATGTTTAAAGGGTTTTAATTAACATATAAGTTTTAAATGTTGAAATTTATTTAAAATATAAATTTTAACAAGATTAAGCAAAACGACGAAGTCATTTATAGTATTTCCTCTAGATCAATAAAAATCAAATCTTCATCAAAAAACACTCATAGGAGAAGATTTTTTCAGTAGGTGTTCTTAGTAAGTAATTCGTTTTTTTTTTATAACCACTTAAAGTCGTTTTAGTTATCTTATAAGTTTTAAATGTTGAATTTTAATTAAAATACTAGTTTCAACAAGGTTAAGCAAAATAAAGGAGCTTTTTATACGTCTCACCTCTAGATCAATAAAGATCAAATCTTCATCTGTAATAAGTTTAAAAAAGAAGGTTTTTTTCAGTAGATAATTTAAGTAATAAGGTTTTTCTTAAAGAACTTAGTCTTGTAATTAGGTTATAATATTTAAATGCTCAGTCTTGACTTCTTGAAAACGTCTTTTATGTTCTTACATCTTGCTAAATAAAAGTTAAATCTTCATCAATTAAACAGCTAAAGAAGAAGCATTTTTTCAGTAGATAATCTTCATAACGTTATTTTTTTTGAATGGCTTAAAGTCTTTTGGATTAAGTCATAAGTTATAAATACTGAATTTAAATTAAAAAATTTTAACAAGGTCAACCAAAACTATGAGGTCTTTTATACTCTTACGTCTAGATCTATGAAAATCAAATTTTCATTGATGAAACACTCAAAGGAGAAGATGTTTTCAATTGATGTTCTTAGTAATTATTTTTTTTATAAATGTTTAAAGGGTTTTAATTAATATATAAATTTTAAATGTTGAAATCTATTTAAAATATAAATTTTAACAAGATTAAGCAAAACGACGAAGTCATTTATAGTATTTCCTCTAAATCAATAAAAATCAAATCTTCATCGAAAAAAACACTCATAGGAGAAGATTTTTTCAGTAGGTGTTCTTAGTAAGTAATTAGTTTTTTTTTTTATAACCACTTAAAGTCGTTTTAGTTATCTTATAAGTTTTAAATGTTGAATTTTAATTAAAATAGTAGTTTTAACAAGGTTAAGCAAAACAAAGAAGCTTTTTATACGTCTCACCTCTAGATCAATAAAGATCAAATCTTCATCTGTAATAAGTTTAAAAAAGAAGGTTTTTTTCAGTAGATAATTTAAGTAATAAGGTTTTTCTTAAAGAACTTAGTCTTGTAATTAGGTTATAATATTTAAATGCTCAGTCTTGACTTCTTGAAAAAGTCTTTTATGTTCTTACATCTTGCTAAATAAAAGTTAAATCTTCATCAATTAAACAGCTAAAGAAGAAGCATTTTTTCAGTAGATACTCTTTGTATTCAAGTTTTTTTTTTCTAAGCATTTAAATTCTTTTGTTGGTCTAAATGTTACTTGTTTTAGCAAGGTTAGCTAAACAAAGAAGTCTTCGTTTCTACTTTTGCGTCTGGATCAATAAAGATCGCATCTTCACCAATAAAACGCTTAAGAAAGACTTTTTTTCAGTAGATACTCTTAAAACTTTTTCTTTTTCTGGTCGATTTTTGTAAAATGTGTTTTTTGTGTGAGCACGATCCTAATTTTGTGCTACTTACTGGCTAAGAGTGCGATCTGTGGAAGTGGCCCCGGAGTCGTGGTGGCGGCGCTCCTTGTGGACGATGCCCATCAGCTTCATCCAGGCGTTGTTCTTGCCCCCGGGCCCCCCCATCCCGCCGCTCTGCCACATCGTCATGATTGCGGCTCATCACCCTAAACCCCCCGACCGAAAGAAACACTCCGGTGCTGGCACCAGGAAGTCACAACACTAAATCACTGCAAAGCAGCACCACCATGTTGCACTGGTCCTCCTCTTGGAACTGGTACTCCTCTGGTCAACTACCCTAATCGAACTCTACTGCGGTAATTGGATGAGGGTCGAAACGAAGCCTATGTACAACCTCTACAAACTAGTTAAAAATGGAAGATTGGATAAAAGTAGCGAAAAACTGCCAAAACTACCTAAACTAGCTAAACTACATTGAGCAAGAGTTGAAAATGCTAAAATTGACCTCCTAGTCGCAGTTCTTGCGGGCACTATTCGCGCGCGTCCTCGCGTCCCGGCTCCCTTGCGCTGGAAAGAGCGTCGAAGACCGCCCGAGCTGAGTCCAACAGATCCGGCATCCTTCGGGCCGGCGGCGTTCCAACAGGTGCAGGTCGGCGGCGGCGGCGGCGTCAGTGGCGGGCAGACGCGTCGCGACGCGTATTGTACACTGAGGTCCGGGCCTGCCTTCGCGGGCCGCGCAGGGACGGCGCAGGCGCCGCCCACTGCGGACCACCTGGGCCACTGTGATGGGAGATCGCACTGCAGCACCAGCGCATCTCGGAGCGTCCATTCATCCTGCGGCAACCGCCGCCACTGACACCCTCCGCCTGCATCGGGACGCCGTCCCCAGAGGCAATTAGCAGGAGGACACTTAATCGCCGCCACCGCGACGACGACGACGACCCACAATAAAATTATAAATATACGGTGCCGCAGTGTGGACGGGAGTCGCAGGAACTCCAGACGGCTCTTCCTGATTCCTGCAAGCCGACGAGGATTCTTTTCTTTAACGAAGGAAATTATGGGGGCGGGGGAGTTCAACGAGCCATTGTGTACATGAAACATGATCCTGAGGGAGAAAAATGTTGTGTTGCGCCGTCAGGAAAATTACTGGCAATTATTAAAAGGCAACATTGTGTGCGGTGCGCCGGCTGCAAAATAATTCTTAAGGGAAGTTCTGCCAGATGAAAGATTTTTCTTTTTAGTTTGAATAAAGACTTTTCTTAGCAAATGCCGAGAAATAAAACTGATTTTATTTTAAAGCAAGACGTAAAGTGACCTAACACCTACGGCTGAGTTTTAATTTTAATGTGCTACTGGGTTCTGTCCACAATCTGCCCTTTTATTACCGTCAACCAGTAGCCCGTATCAAGAGCTTCTGATGACCCTTTAAACTTGATAAAAATAAAAATACAACTGATTTGAAATTTACTTTTGTCACCAAACGGCTCTTAAACGAAACGTCAGGCGAGAACTTATCGAATCGATCTTTCGTTAGTTTTATTACCTCAAGATGTTATTCCACACTACAACGATTCTTGAAACACAAAAAGGTTCAGTTTTCGATACACTTGTTCCCGGAATCACTGCACACAGTAAAAGACGTTTTCCTTGTAAATAATCCGGTTACCGTCGAGTACTGAGACCTCTAAAAGTGTATGTGTAGAACCTGCGGTAAGTATCAATAAAGAGAACATACTGGGTTGTCTGTTTTCTGGATTTCCTTTAAACGTTTTTTATACCGCAATTAAGTATACAAGGTGTCTATTAATGAATATGAATATCAAACTAACCATTGACCGTAGCAAAAAGATTCAGTTTTTTATGATTATTAACAACACACCCAATTTGATTTGCGTTTTGTGGCTAATAATAATTATATGATTTCATAAAGTAAATTTGACATTAGTTATTTTTGAGTTTTATATGCTGTCAGCATAACACTTCAAAAGATTAATAAAAGATTCCTCATTACTGCAATTTTGGTCGCCCAGTAGTTATACACATTTCTGTCATACATATTTTCAAAATAAATTGTACAAACCGGCTATTTAATTTTTTTTTTTGTTTTTACTTGAATTTTTTACATATTTCGTATTTATAGAATCTCGTTGTTGTTCAATGATCGACTTGAATTTTGAGATTTTTTGGATTTTTTCAGAAACCCAAAACATTGATCTCGCATTTTGTGCAAATGTTGCAATAGTAACGATAACCTCTGCATAACTTTTATTGGTTTATTTTTTAATTTGATTAATTCCTAATTCCTTTCAAGATAATTTTGAAAAATTAACAAGATAACTAATTTGTCGAAATTTTCGGTAAAACGTCATTTATTATCACGGATCTATGGCTAAAATGGCAACATTTCGACTGTTTTAACTTTCCGAGCGTAAATTAAGAAAGTATTATAATAATAAGGTATATTTTCGGCGAATGACTACTTCCGGTGTTTTCTCAACTTTTCATGACCCCCCAGACTACGCAAAAATAGTTCTCCCGTTTCCGTCTATCTGTCTGAATCTGTCTCTCAGCCTTTCTATTATTCAATCGTTCTATATTTCTGTCGTTCTGTCATTCTGTCTTTCTACCTTTCTGCCTTTCTATATTTCTGTCTTCCTGTCTATCCGACAACTGTCCTATTACCTATTGTATTGTGATTCTGTTTTTCTTTCTTGAAAAGTGATTTCAAGAGATTCAGTAAGACCAGAAATACTTAGTATTCGGTTCCACTGGCTTAAATTCTATAACTGTATTCCCGATGAAATCAAAGCACTGAATTCTTAAGTTTTTCGCAAAAAAAATAAAAAAAATCTTACTGAGCATGCATTGTACTTCTGCCTTTCTGCCTTTTTGACATTCTAATTTTCTGCATTTCTGTTTTTGTAGTCTTTCTGTCCCTCTGTCTTTCTGTCTCTCTGTTCTTCTATCCTTCTGTTTTTCTGTCCATCTGTCCTCCTGTCCTGTCTTTCTACCTTCCTGTCTTTCTGTCTTTCTGCTTTTCTGTCTTTCTGTCTGTCTGTCTTTTTGTCTTCCTATCTTTCCGCTTTTCTATATTACTCTCTTCCTGTCTTTCTGACAATCTGGCCTTCTGCCGCTCTGTCTTTCTACCAAATATAGCGTGTTTATGTTCATCGCGTTAAAAATTCCAAAAATTTCGATACTTCAACGGCCTATTCTATATTTCTGCAATCAGCACGTCGAGATCTACATCCATCAATTTTTTCACAATTTTTAGACAACTTTTTGGAAAGTGATTTTTTTTTCAATGAAATTTTGACTATTTTTTCTTAATATACGTAGTCATCTTTTCACAACAAAAACCACTTAAAACATGCTTAAAATGGTAAATGGTAAAAGGGAAATTCTAGTTACGCTTCGCCTTTCAGTCTGGCAACGAATGAAAAATTTCTGACGAGATTAAGCTCCGCCCATTCCTACCCCTACCTCAATGAAGGTTTCATTCGTTGTTAGACCGAGGGGCGGGGCGTAATTGCAAAATTCATACTTCCATACAAAAATTTACCAGTTTAAACATGTTTTAAGTTCCTTGTTGTGTAAAGAAAACTAAATATATTATGAAAACAAAGCAAAGTATAAGCCTCGCCCACCCACCCTAACTCAATCCTGATGATGAGTTTAATGCAAAAATCCTTATTTTTCTACGAGAAATTGCTTTGTGAAACCTGTTCTTGAGTAATCGTGTATTAAACTAACTAGTATTCTTTGAACAACCCAATACTCAAAAACATGGTAATTTCTTGTAGAGAAATACTGATTTTGCAATTAAGCTCCGCCCCTCGGCTAACGAGATGAATAAGAAAAAATCGTCACAATTGGGATAGGGCGGGTGGGCGGAGCTCATATTTTGGCTACGTTTTTTCTTAATATACGTAGTCATCTTTCACGAGATTAAGCTCCACCTATACCTGCCCTTACCTCAATAGTGATGAAGTTTTCGTTCGTTGTTAGACCGAGGGGTGGAGAATAACTGCAAAATCCATATTTTCATACAAAAATTTAAACATGTTTTTCGTTTCTTTTTGTGAAAACAAAACTACGTATATTAAGAAAAAAGAAAGGAAATTTTTGACATTTTCGAAACTTAGCTAAATACACCTCCTTGTAGACTTCGTGCTCAAGAACCCACCTCCTTGTTTCTTTGATAATCCGAACGGTTTTTCCAGAATCGACCATTGAAATATCGAAATATTTAGAAATTTTCAAAAATTCGCATTTCGTATCGATTCGTTCGAAAATGTTGCTCCGTGACTATCAACACGCTATATTATTGGAATCAGCGTATCGACATCTACGTCCCTGAATTTTTTCACAATTTTTAAACGACTTTTAAAACTGAAATTTTTTTCAATGGTCCCCCCTTCTTCAAATTTCGGCCAATTTTTGACATTTACGAAACTGAACTAAATACATTCCTTGTAGACTTCGAACTCGAGAACTCACTGCCGGCCTCGTTTCTTTGATAACTCGAACCGTTTTTCCAGAATCTACCACTGAAATATCGAAATTTTTAGAAATTTTCAAAAATTCGCATTTCGTATCGATTTTTTCGAAAATGTTGTTCCGTAACTATCAACACGCTATATTATTGCAATCAGCGTGTCGAGTTCTACGTCCCTGAATTTTTTCACAATTTTTGTACAACTTTTTTAAAACTGAAATTTTTTTAAATGGTCCCCCCTTCTTCAAATTTCGGCCAATTTTTGACATTTTCGAAACCCAACTAAATACATTTCCTTGTTGACTTCGAGCTCGAAAACTCACTTCAGGCCTCGTTTCTTTGATAACTGGAACTATTTTTCCAGAATCGACTGTTGAAATATCGAAATTTTTAGAAATTTTCAAAAATTCGCATTTCGTATCGATTCTTTCGAAAATGTTGCTCCGTGACTATCAACACGTTATATTATTGGAATCAGCGTGTCGAGATTTATGTTCCTGAATTTTTTCACAATTTTTAAACAACTTTTTTTAAACTGAATTTTTTTTCTATGGTCCCCCCTTCTTCAAATTTCGGCAAATTTTTGACATTTTCGAAACTTAACTAAATACATTTCCTTGTAGGCTTCGAGCTCGACAACTCACTTC